TCTAGATTACATGTTATGTAAAGATTCAAAAAAACTCGATCTGTTAGAATTTTTACTATCAATCTTAAATTAACTTCTATTTTCTTATTGCTAAAATATTTTCTGTGCCTTAGGTTATTGTATGTATTATATTTATAGGTAGTTGAAATCATAAAAATATATAACAATTTTATAAATTTGCCTTGAGAATGCTTGTTCTTCTGTATACATTCTCTCTATGAAAGATTTTTGATATTAGTCTTTCTCTCAAAAGCACTATTCCTTGCTAATACTATTTTCTTTAATTCATAACCTTTTTCCACCATTGCACAGTCTTGTTCTTTTGACTTTCTATATATGATTTCTTTACACATTTATTATTTTTCTATGACACAATACTGTACTTCTATCTTCAATATTTCTTCTTCCCAATAATAGAAATCAAACTTATTCAGCAACAAAGCACTGATAAATTTTAAATGCAAAGGTAATGTTTCAAAAACCAAGTATTAGTTTGTAAAGTTAAAACTTGACAAGCATGCTTTTTAGTTCTGATATTCTATCAAATTTTAATAGTTTTAATTGCCTAATTATCTGCTCCAGTGCAATAATAAAGTCTTTTAATATTTCATTTTCTACTACAGGGAAAGGTATTCCAGTCTGTGCTAGAGAACCTTCCAACCCTTTGTTGAATGTTAAGTTGAAGTTCTTTAGTATAATCTTGCACTTTGGTAAGCCAGCTCCATCTGTCATCGCACTTTTGTCCTCTCCACCACCCTCCTTACCCAAATGTTACTTGTTTATTCAAAGAACACCTTGTTTTCTTTTTTTTTCTTTGTTTCTTTTATTTTAGTTTTTTGTCACTGGCAATTATGCTTTTTTATATCCATTTTTATATTCTTCAATAAATGTCTGTGTCTATGTGTGTGTTCTTTAATGCAGGCAATAACTTCGTTACTGAATCTCCATATCTCTGAATTATTTTTCTCCCTACTCCCGATCTTGACATTAGCACCTCACTTAATCTGCCGGCCTGTGCTGTACTGAATAGTTAGGAGAGAATCAATGCTTCTTTTCAGGCACTGACAGGAAGAACTGCCTTGGGCACGCTCAGCAGAACAAGGGACCATGAGGTCAATAACAATAAGAAGATTTAAAGACAACTTCTAGGCACTGAATTCCTACTTAGGAAATTCTGTGATCCATTTTGTGTCTCCTTTATTGAACTGATCAATCTAAAAGGAAAGAATACATATGAAAAATGCATTTATTTACAATTTCAAGAATTTATTTCTCATACCATCATCACACAAGGCATTCTAGGGTTTTATGCACAGAAATACTATCATGTATGTTCAAATTAGTACTATTTTTGTATCCAAGATCAGAACTCTCTTTTTTTATTTTCCACACTAATGTCAGCCTTGTTGCCCACCAAGTTGTTAAGTTTTGTTTTTTATTTCGCTGCTACCTGCTGGTTCTAAAATTTTTGACATCTCATAAGTTTAGTTATAAGATAACAATAGGATTAATCAACAGAAATCAGGGCTTTAACATACTTCAGTGATTATGCTTATCAGCTTGGGAAATACTTAAAATCATTTTCTTTTCCTGGGGAAAAGATGAAGCTCAATTGAGAAAAGTGATAGAAAGCCAAAATAGCCAATTTTTGAAAATGATTTGTCTCTAATATAACTTTTACTCTTCATAAAGAAGTCAATGCATTACAATTCACTGGAAAATATTAAACCCAAAAAAATATTTTCATGAGTAATACAACTACTCCCATGTTAAACACAATGCATTTCAGTAACACATCTATTAGATATTAACTATAACTATCTTCACTTAATTAATGATTAAGGGGAAAAACCAGAATCTCTTTATGACGTAAGGCAACAAACTGGACTGTAAGACTTATAACATAAACCCATAATTTGTCTCAAAGTGTAATTAGTGTTATGTATAACAGGAATACAAAATAGAGATTAGATGCCTCCTCAATAATCCATCAAAAATCTTTTACAAGAAATAATATTTATATGTTACCAATATATTAGTCCAGATTTCGATGTTTTTGCGCCATATCTGGTCCACCATTTTACAGGTATGTTAGAAACAGGTAAGAACAGGTTTCATTTGTTTTTTGAGAAAAAGGAAACCCTTAATGATAATTTTTATGACACACTTAAGATGAAAATTATAAATATAAATGATCCAAAATAGAACACCAATCAAACAAAGATTTTGTTGTAAATTGAAATAAGACATTTGAAGAAGAACCATTTTTATTACAGTTTTGGAGATCGCAACTCTTGTTAGTCATATTCATGATACTCGCAATATGACTAAAGAATGAAAACTATGAAAAATATATTTTAAAGAATAACAATTTATGGGGTGTTTTGCATTTCCTTTGAAAATGTTTTAAGTTCATACTCTTAATATAATCTAAACATCTAAACTTTGTTTCCAAACCATATCTCTTCCCCTCACAAACACACAAAAAATTGTGAATTAAAATATTTACTTGTTTAACATGTTTATTGATGTCTTCATAAGTCACCTTACATATATAGACTATCTGAAGGTGAACTCTTTAAATCAGTGACAATAAATCTATTTAAAAAACAATAGGTAAACATTCAATCAATTCTGGAATTAGGTATACAGAGCTGTTAGAAATAAAATTTATGAAAAAGAAAATAGAGCTGATATTAAGGAGTAAACTCCATTTATCCTGGCAAAAGACGTGCCAAATGATTTTTACAGGTATGTTATTTCATTACATTTGTTTGTATGTTCACTTGTATTCCAGTAAGTGTAGCAATAGTTAACTTCACACCTAACCCACAGTGTAAGCTGCAGGGTGGAGTGGTCGCTAAGCAACGTAACCAGGAGAACATTAAGTACCAGACTTTCTTCATTTAAATCTGTTTGAGAGCTAGAGAAGTGAGAGATTTTTATGGGCAGAACTTTTCAAGTTGATTTGGCTAAACTAAGCAGACTGCAATTTGTATGCCTGAAATCTCGTCAGGTTGGCAAAGGCCAAAACAACAGAAATTGCTTTAAGAAAATACTATTACTGCTGTAAGGAGGATTTTTCTTTAAGGAGTAGACTCGGCTGTGTTCTTAAATCAAAATACGTATTTTTCACATACTTTAGAAATTTCATATTAGCTCTATCTTTATTCCTGTCCCACTTGATATTTTGAAAATAATTATTTTAAGGCAATTTATTTTGCCATTAAACTTAACCCAAATCCATCTTAGACATTACTAAATAGAAAATCTTTACTGTGCTTTGTAGATGTAAGCAGAGAAAATTTCAGTTCCTAAAAAGTTATTGACATTAACTCAAGCTAAGTGGGAGGATGGGGTTGGGGGGAAAGTGTATAGGTCTCTAATTTTAAGAGCCCACAAAATATTGTATTTTTTTCTATTATGTCTTCAAAAATAGTTTCTTGTTTTAATAAATGATTTTTTTTTTTTTTTTTTTTTTGAGACAGAGTCCTCACTCTGTTGCCCAGGCTGGAGTGCAGTGGCGGGATCTCGGCTCACTGCAACCTCCACCTCCTGGGTGCAAGCAATTCTTGTGCACAGCATCCTGAGTAGCTGGAATTACAGACACACTCGGCTAATTTTTGTATTTTTAGTAGAGACGGGGTTTCGCCATGTTGGCCAGGCTGGTCTTGAAATCCTGGCCTCCAGCAATCCACCCACCTCGGCCTCCCAAGTGCTGGGATTATAGACCTGTGCTGCCACTCCCGGCCTGAATAAATGATTTTATTAACTATATACACATCCTTATAATTACTATACAAACTAATGTAATTATAATTACAAAAAACAGTTTACAATGGTTTTGTTTTATATGATTTGAATCATATCATATATTTATTTATGAATTATATTTTTTCATTACATAATAAGTTTGTTAAAAAATCTGTGATTTTATGTGAGCTATAGTTTACACATTTTATTGTTACATATTACTTTATTAAAAAGATGAAACCTATGTAATTATTTGGGCTATATTAATAAGTAAAACAAATATATTATTTGTCCATTCTATTATTAATACAAATTTAAGATGTTTTTAATTTAGTAGTATTAAAAATAATTTATTTATGTAAAAAGTAATTTTTCCATGATATTCCTGTATATGGCTCCTAGGATACTTGTGATGGTGTTCCACAGGATATATTCCAAGGAGTAGAGAACTAGGTCATAGGGATGCTAAACCTTTAACTTTACTAGATAATAATTGTTTTCCACAGTGTTTTTTAGAAATTAACACTGCCACCACAATATATGAGGATCCCATTAGTTCTTCCAAATCTTCACCAAATTTGTCAGCATTTTTGTTTTCATTTTTCCAATACAACAAATCAATGTATATTTTATTAAGGCTTTGATTGCCTTCTTCATGACTGGTAATGAGAATGAGTGTCATTTAATATGTTTCTTGTCTGTGACATGCCCCATGAGAGATTGTATGAATGTTTAAAATCTCCATCCCTTTCTGAGATTGATTTCTAAGAGATATTCCTCCCCATAGGAGAATTATACTGTTCTGTTCTATGACACTCAGGAGTGGTCAGTTACTTGCTGTCACAAATGAAACACGAGTGGAAAAGGTGTGTGTCATGTCTGTGCACAATATTTAAGAGCCAGCTTGTGAATTTTATGATCCCTTATCATCTGTCCTGAGACCAGTAATGTTTCAGACAGGTTGGCTTCAGGAGCCTAGTCTCCTAAGTGAGACCACAAAGCAGAGATACAGCCCACTTGTGACAGGTATGCAGTGTGAGTGAGAAACTAATGTTGGCTGTATTCATCCACTAATAATTTTTAGTGTTACTGCATCAAACTAGGGTCTGTTCGCCCAGTGTAATAAGACAAAACATCCATACTAAGGTTTTGCAGCAGGAGAAATGAGTGTGTTGATTTGCAGGGTGCCAAGCGAGTAGAATCAGGCAGCTCATGTTTCAGACTTGACCTCTCCAATGGCTTACAAGCAAGGGTTTTTAAAGGCAGGAGTACATTTCAGGGAAAAGGATGTTGCAGGCAAAATCTTATATCAATATATGGAAGTAATACATTGGTTTGGCCTAAAAAGGCAGGCCAGAGGTGGACTAAAAGACTTCTTGATCTGCAATTGGTTAAGGAAGGAAAGCTTTGTCTAAACACTTGGGGTCAGTCAAAAGGAATATTAGGCCTGGCCTGTGGGTTTGATTTCCTCCTGGCTCCTCAGGAATAAATTTAGAATGAAGAACGGTTGCCAGAATTTACTCCTCAGCTGTCCCCTGTCTGAAGTCTTATGTGCTAGAGGATTCCTTTTCGGTAAGTGGTCTAAGTTTCTGAAAAACAACTCAGGGACATATGTTAAGATATTATCTTTCGTTTCTGTATGAAATCAAACCTTACATGACTAACTTCTTTGGCTATTGTTTTAAGCTACCTCTTGCTTATCAAATTGCTCATTTACTTCTCAGGGCCAGCTCAGTGCCTAAAATTTCCCTTGAAAAACCTGAAGATTTTCCTCTATGTCCATGTTTTGGGGGAGCCAACAGGCCCCTACGGGTGGTTTCTGCTTCAGAGTTCTTTTTTTTTTTTTTTTTTTGAGGCGGAGTCTTGCTCTGTCGCCCAGGCTGGAGTGCAGTGGCACTATCTCGGCTCACTGCAAGCTCCGCCTCCTGGGTTCACGCCATTCTCCTGCCTCAGCCTCCCGAGTAGCAGGGACTACAGGCGCCTGCCACCACGCCCGGCTAATTTTTTTGTATTTTTAGTAGAGATGGGGTTTCACCGTGTTAGCCAGGATGGTCTCGATCTCCTGACCTCGTGATCCACCCATCTCGGCCTCCCAAAGTGCTGGGATTACAGGCTTGAGCCACCGCGCCCGGCCTGCTTCAGAGTTCTTAAACTGTATTCTGAGCACTAGTTTTTTATAAGATTAAAGTGTTGAAAATATTATCCCCCATGCTGTGATTTGTTTTCTGTTCTTTCGGTGGTATAGTTTGATGAAAAAATAATCTTGGTTTTTTTGGGATTTTTTTTTTTTTTCTTTTTTTGAGACAGAGTCTCGCTTTGTTGCCCAGATTGGAGTGCAGTGGTGCGATCTCGGCTCACTGCAAGCGCCGCCTCCCTGGTTCATGCCATTCTCCTGCCTCAGCCTCCCAAGTAGCTGGGACTACAAGTGCCAGCTACTGCGCCCAGCTAAATTTTGTATTTTTTAGTAGAGACGGGGTTTCTCCGTGGTCTCTGCCTCCTGACCTCGTGATCTGCCTGCCTCGGCCTCCCAAAGTGCTGGGATTATAGGCATGAGGAAGAAAGAATCTTAAATAGAGCTTATGTGAATCCATCAATCTTTGCCCTTTTGGTAAACTCTGTTTAAGAAATCCTTCTTTCTCGCTCCTGAGAACATTATATTCCACAACAATCTAAGTTTTCCTTTAACATTTCAGGAGAACTTCTCTGTGAGTATATCAGATCTTGAGGTCTATTGCTTGTTTGTTTTGAGAAATGTTCAACTATTACTTTTTAATTATAGATCTTGCTATAGTGTTTATAGAAATTTATCTGTAGCAGAACAAGCTGCAGACAAAACCCCTCAGATACCAAGTTAAAGAAGGAAGGGCTTTATTCAGCCAGGAGCATTGGCAAGACTCATGTCTCAAAAACCAAGCTCTCCGAGTGAGCAATTCCTGTCCCTCTTAAGGGCTTACAACTCTAAGGGGGTCCGTGTGAGGGAGTCGTGATCGATTGAGCAAGCAGGGGGTACGTGAATGGGGCTTGCATGCACCGGTAATTAGAACGGAACAGAACAGGATAGAGATTTTAACAGTGCTTTTCTATACAAGGTCTGTAATCTATAGATAACATAACCGATTAGGTCAGGGGTCGATCTTTAACCTACCAGGCCCAGGACGTGGCACTGGGCTGTCTGCCTGTGGATTTCATTTCTGCCTTTTAGTTTTTACTTCTTCTTTCTCTGGAGGCAGAAATTGGGCATAAGACAATATGAAGGGTGGTCTCCTCCCTTATTCTCCCCCTTTGAGAACTTCACTCATTAGTGGGAGTTCTCACGTTCATTCTCATTACTCATGTCTTCTTACAAAACAGATCAATAGTGATTTATATAGTATACGGGTGCTGAAGCATTTTGGTGAACTAAGGTAGCGATGAAGCTTTTTATCATTTGAAGAAGCAAACAACGGAGTAGTAAACAGGTTCCCATTACTATTATAACTCCCATTATAAGAGTTTTAAATCTCCTAGTGCTGGGAACCATTTTCCAAACATGATCATGGATCAAACCCATGCCACCCTTGCACAGGCACATGTGCCAGTTTTGTCATATCTCTAACTATGTCTTCAACTACTTGCCTTTGAACATCTATCTGTAGACAGCAATTAGTAAGGTTAAATTTCCCACAGACCCCTCCTTCAACTGCTAGCAAGTAGTTGAGAGCCAATCTGTTTTGATAGATAGCATTTCTCATCTGAGTTTCTTGCCAGGCCAGAATAGTCAAGGCTCTGACTGTTTTATTAGTGATTAGTTCTAAGACAGCTTGTAACCATATGATTTGATTGACCATGTAAATGGGAGTCTGGTAGCCCCACAAGCCGTCTTGTGCCCAAGTAGCAGGCCCATAATATTGTATGATTCTCTCAGGGGGCTATCCATCATCTTTCCAATTTCCTATAGCTATGCTTCTCTTTTTTCGGGAAGCATAGACAGGGAAGCCCAGGAGTTCACGTGTTTTTATGGGCAGTAGGAAGAAAAATGGTTTAATAGTGCCAATAACAAACACAACTATAACAATATAACACAACAATAACACACAATAACTGCCCACTGGTCACGTAATTTGGTGTAATCTCTATGCCCACATATCCAGTATAATCCAGTGGGGGTTGTCCAGCCCAAGTGGGACTCTGGGTGGGTCCACACAGTTTGAAACTTTGGGAATTTACTAAATGGATTTCTCTCTGTGTGATTTGAACCCCACCAAGTGACTGCTTTTGTGGTACCATTATATGGTTTCTATCCCAGACAACTAAGTCACCCTATGGGGTGAGTTAATTCTTTTTCTTCTCTAGTTATGTAATATTGTCCTGTAATTCAGGCTTTCAGGATCCAGAAATTATCAGGGTGATTCTTTTGAGCCGAGAATTCATCAGGAACTGGGTCTGTAGGTACTAATTTTCAGGCTTCCCATGGCCATTGATCTCCCATTACAGTCCCTGCACATACATAACATGAAGTGACATTGAGAGACTGGGCTACATGCTCGGTTAACTGCAAAAACAAATTTCTTGTTTTTCCTGGAATTTTTGGTACTGGTACATTTGGTTCATCATAGAAAGTTTGACACACTGGCTCAGGAGAGCATTTGTAAACTTCTCCTAGAACTAAGATATTTACTCAAGGATCCAGTCCGGCCCCATTGATTCCTAAGGTCACACGCTCTACTTTTTTTCCAGCGAGGATCAAAAGGATTGGTTATCACTAGCTCTAAGGGGTTACATTGTCCCTTAGTACAGGAAGGGTCGTTTTTTCTTTTCTTAAGGTGAACTGGATTATTTTCATTTTTTATCCAATTGGCCCAAAGGACATAAGGCCAGTATCCACATTCGTTTCCACACAGTCCTAATTCATGACAAATGTACTTATTTTCGGTCATATAGACTTTTTCCCAATTAAAAGAGCCACATCCCCTTCCTATTGCTATTAATGACATCACAGACATTGAATTTCAAGATTATATGTTTGGGCACCACTTTTTCTTCTGTTCTGGCTAATACTTTACTTGTATCATTTATGAGTCCCCACCAGTCTTCAGTCCTTGATCTTATTTCAAAAACTGTGGACATGGGAGGCTCAGAGGGGTCATAACACACATCTGGCCGATCGTTTCCTGGGCTACATACCTTGTACTGAGTGTCACTATATAAACATGTTCCTTTTAAACTTCCTAGGCATTCATAGTAATTATAGAACAGAAAGATTATTTTAATTTGTTGCCCTAACTCGGTAACCTGATGTATACACTGAGATCAGTCATCCAGGTGGGGAAAATCAGTGGAAGTTTTTACTATACAAGTCCAAATTATAAGGAAAATGAGTCTCCTAATGATTCTCCTCATGCTTCGGCCGTGCGTAGACCAGTCAGCTTCCGGGTGTGACTGGAGCAGGGCTGGTCATCCTCCTCAGAGTCACTTTGCAGGGGTTGTCCGGGCTGGGTTTTGCCTCCCGGGTTTCATCGGCTGCAGGTTTCACATGGCTGTGGTGGATCTAGGCTGGGATTCCTTCTACCTTTACAGTCTTTGGGGTGGTCAGGATGACAGTCTGAGGTTCTTTCCACCGTGGCCGCAAAGGGGCTATGTTCCAGTCCTTGATCCACACGGGATCACCTGGAGAGAAAGCATGAACTGGGGAGAATAAGCTGATGGGATACCTTTCATTTACCCAAGTTGAGATTGTTTCTGTAATTTTTCCTAAAGCCTATAGGTGTTGCTGTAATTCAATTTCACCTAACTCTCAGGGAATGCCTGGAAGCCCCGGTGGTATAGGAGGAGGCCTATGATACAGTATTTCATAAGCAGAGTATCCTGTTTACTTAGAAGGAGTGCATCTAATTTTAAACAATACCATAGGAAGGGCCTGTATCCACTTTAATCCTGTTTCCTGACATACTTTCCCAAAACTATTTTTGATAATCTGATTCATTCACTCCACCTTTCCAGAACTCTCAGGTCGGTAGGTGGCATGTAGCTTCCAAGTGATTCATAATGCCTTTGCTGTCTTCTGTAGTAAGTCAGCCACGAACGCTGATCTGTTATCTCAGACGATTCGTAAGGGCAGTCCAAACCTAGAAATAAGATCTCGAAGATGCACAAGCGTTACCTCGTAGGCCTTTTCAGTTCGTGTTGGATAAGCCTCCACCCACCCAGAGTGAGTAGACACAAGAACCAGCAAATACTTGTGACCTCCACATTTTGGGGTGTCTGTGAAATCCACCTGAAAATCCTCAAAAGGAGCCGTTCTATAAGCTTGTATGTTGGGCAGAACAGTGGGGCCTTGTCTTGCATTGTGCTGTCTGCAAGTTACACACTGTTGTGCTACTGCTTTGGCATGGGCTGGCAAGTGTGAGATGTACAAGTACTGGCCTAACAACTTTTCAAATGACTCTTGACCTAGATGAGTGGTTTCGTGCATGGCCAATATGATTGTGGATCCCAGCAACTGCGGCACAGCTATCCTCCCATCTGGCAGTCTGATCCATCCTCCTTTTATTACTTGCCCCCCTTCTGGGTGGAAAAAATATTTTTCTTCCTTT